TGTTTATCTTCTACAATCTTGTCATAAACTAGCAATTCGGAGTGAACAGATAAGAGTGGCAAAAAAATTTCGTTTTTTAGACTGATAAATAAATTCTTTTGCCTAGTAAAACGTGCTACAAAACTTTCCATCATGCTGTGGCGTCATCTGCCCATCTTTACAGGTTTTTCTAGGTTACTTGAGCAAGAATAGTCTATATTTTATTCCGAACAAATTCCATAATTAGAAACTAATTTATTTAAATATTTTCCGTATAATTTTTATTCGGAGGCTCAAGTTTAACCAAAAGTCGGATATACAGTGATTTATGGCTAGCAATTCTTATGGATAACTTGGTTTGACCCTGTAAATGTACGATTACGCGCCATTTTTTAGAATTTTAAATTAAAACCCGTAACGACAGAAGTTTGCTGAAAATGTTTTTTATGCATTCTAACAGTTACGTAATCATCAGTTTTATGTACATTATAAATGTATGTACATCGGAAATTATTTATAGAAAATGCCTGACGATTTTCAAAAAGTCAATACAATGTTCTGATTAAAACTAGTTTACACAGAGGACATTTGTCTGACGAATTACAAGACATATTCTGTCAAAAAGAATCTAAAGTTATGTACGGAGTGGTATAAACTGTAAAAGTTTGCTAAAATTGGAGTAAACTCACTCCATTTCTTTACAAAATTGAAGCCGTTCTCAAATTGGAGCAAATTTCTGAAAGCAGGAGGAGTGTACACTTCCCTGATGCAAACAGTCGCGCCGCCACTAGTCAGAACTACAAATATCTGACTCGTAATCTATCCCATTGATCAATATTTGCTTTGAAAAAGTAAAAAAATTTATTTATTTAATGACTCGGGTGCTTCGAGTTATTCGTTTATTTTTTCTTCCTCTTCTCATACACCTGTAACCTTTTTCTTACGAAAAGAAAGAGAACGCAACTTGGAAATTTCATGTTTTTGAATCCAAACAAATAAAATCAAAAACGTTTTGTTTTTTTTCCGTTTTTTCTCTTACTTTGTTACTCCACTCTCTCTCAACATATAATGGGTTAGGCCCACTTTGTTGTGTAAATTATTACTTAGTTTCAAATAAACTGGTTTAGAACAAAATCAAAAAACAAGAGTTGTAGGAAGATACCCGAAAAAAGTATATTGTCCTCATTGTGATTATTAATACGTAGATTCAGTTAATGAAAGTCAGTTCTGAAGCGGCATTAGAATTGAACGATATTACAAATCCAATTAGTCGAGCATTTTATGAAGATACTCGTGATGGTTTAATTGAAAATATTCAAAGATATTTAGAGATTCTTCCAGCATCTAATGTCGACATCTATCTAAATACAGCTTACAATGACGGCAAAAAGAAATGTACTCCACTTGTCATTGCATCGGAAAATGGACATTATCACATTTTACAGTTATTTTTGGAAACTAAATGTAGAGCAAATATAGAAGGAGAAGGAACAATTGTAATTGAGAATCGGATCATACGTGGAGTGACAGCTCTATGGATTGCTGCAGCTAACGGTCATTTCTCAATTGTTCAACTCTTAGTTGAACATGGTGCCGATGTTAATCATACAACAAAAACAAATTCATCACCACTAAGAGCTGCTAGTTATTATGGTTATATTAAAATCATACAATATCTTGTTGATCATGGTAGTGATGTACATTCATTAAATCATTTTAACAGTAGTCATATGAACATAGCTGCTTATCGTGGTCACATTAACGTTGTTCAATATCTTTTACAGTCGGGATGTAATCCTAATATAAAAGATAATGATTTATCAATTGCATTACATGAAGCAGTTGCAGGAGGTCATTTGAAAATAGTAAAATTTTTATTATTACAATACGAGAATGCTAGTAATTCAAATATAACTTTAAAAAATAAATACAATTTGACACCATTGATGGTGGCAGCTAGACACAGACACTTATCAATCGTTAATTATCTGATTGAAAATAATTATTGTACAGATATAGAATGCATTGAAGCTTTAGAATTATTAGGTGCTTCACATTATTGTCAAAATGAAAATAATCCAGATGAGGGTTTTGAATATCTTGTAAGAAATAATTCACTAATCACCTAATCAAATTCAAGCAGACCGAACTCCTCCTCATGGCAATAAAATGTTATAGAAAGTGGATGTAATCTGTTAGAAGCTACCTTTGTAGATCTACCGGTACTTCTTTGTAGTAGTTAATGTGATGATGTAGAAATGACACAATAGTAAAAAGCAGCGAAATTAAGAGAAGAAAAATCATTATTGAAAGCAAATCTTTTATCATCAATCGATGTTTATGATAATCATATTGAATGCCAAACATTGGAACAACTTCAATCTATTCAATATAATTCACACTTAATGCAAATGGAAGCATGCGTTATATATTCAAGATTGATTGGTCAAACAAATAAAAAATTAATTTATCCTCTATTACATGTTGGCTTTACATATGCAGATAAAAAACAATATCAACAATGTTTAAAGTTATGGTTACATGCATTAAAAATTTCCAAATTAAATAAATGCATCTCAAATTATGATCATCAATTATTAAAATATTTTGTTAATATTTTTTTTGAAATTTATGAAAATTCTACTATTAAATTATTCACGTACAATCATATAGTAAAAGAAGTAATGAAAATAACAATAGAAGAATTACTAGAAATTCGTAGACAATTATTAATAGAAAATGGCAATATGGAAGAAAAACAAGCAGTATCACAATATAAGGATGATAATCTTCAAATATTGTTATATTTAATAATATTCTTGTCGAAAGTAGGTGTATATGGAGCTTACAGGTCGATACTAGATTGTCAGTCAGTAGAGTATCATCTGACATGTTCTAATTTTTGTAGAAATCTGTAGCGAATATAAAATGATAGTAGAACGTAGAACGTAGTACCGTTGGAAACTGCATCAGATTCTGTATTCTTAACATCAAACTTACGGAGGAAGTACACTATCTGATAAATCGCGTTTTTCATCAAACCTAGTGTGTTATAGGTTATCGACCACGGATTCAGAATATCCATATGAAACGGGCTACTAGTCCTAACTACTCTCTAAAAAAAAAAGGTTTATTACGAAACTTAAAAGGGTATAGAGAAGTGCAACCATTTCTAAACCGTTTTAAGTTTCGTATGAAACCCTTTTTGGTTTCGTACTTCGACTACG